AAACAACAAATACAGATGGGATATGGAATAGCCTTGATAAACCAAGCTATAAATGAGATAATTAAAGAATTAAATAGAAAAATAACAGGTTCACTATTATCAACAAGAGCAGAATTAATAGCTATCACATTAACCATAACAATAATTCCAAATAACTCAAATATAGCAATTTTCACAGACTTAAAAAGCTCAATAGATTCAATAAATAATTTCGTCCATCCCAAACAAAGAAAATTCCAAAAAATTTATAAAAACCCAAACTTATTTCTAGTAATAAAAGATACAATAATAGAGAAAAACATTAACCTAAAACTAACCAAAATAAAAGTGCATACAGAAATACTCCTAAATGATAAGCAGATGAATTAGCACAAAAAAAGGAACAACAAGTAAAATGATAGTAGACCTTAACTATGAATATAAATTTGTAGAAAACTATCAACTAAAGAATGGAAACAAATTCCTAGACAATCCAATACAAGAATTAACCAAAGACATAACTAACATCCAAAACCTAATTAACTAGAAAACACAACTCAAATTTATTTAGTCCTTCAATAGAAATATAGAAAAAATAGTAGATTGGAATGCAACAAAAGAAGCTTTAATCCACTCAAAACTAACAAATGGAGAAACATCAAACACAGACCAAAGTCTAAGAATGTTCAGAATAAAATAATATATGATAAACTACCAACATACTCAAAATTAAATAATCTCAAAGAAGAAATATATCAAAATCTAAACTGTCCAATATGTAAAATACAAATAGAATCAACACTCCATGTTTTTACATGTCAAGTTAACAAAGAAAATTTCAAACAGATATGGATTAATACAATTAAAAATTACCTAAAAAACTTAATATCAATTATGATAAAATTAAAAAATTTATAAGGATAAAAATGATAATGAACAGATTATATTCCTTTGATCCAAACAGAATAAATATATAGAAAACAGCAAGATATTCAAAATTCAGTCTCAGCAATATAATAAGAGGACTTATATCTAAACAACTAATTGACCAAATAGCAGCAGTAACAGAATCAGATAGGAAAACAGCTAAAGGAAAAGTCCTTGAAATATATCAAATCACAATGAAGAAATTTCATGAATTATGGTTAGAAAAAAATAACCAAGTTCAAAAAACAAATGAGCAAAAAGAAATAAAAAGGAAACTTAATGAATTCCCAAATATAAAAACAAAAAAATAAGGAAAAAATAAAGAAACCTATAAAAAACAAAAAAATCAAATAGAAAAATCCAAAGATCATATTCTAAATATAAATAGATACAAATTTATTTTCAATTTATTAAGAATAGATATTAGTGGGGCCATAGCAGTTGAAACTTACTAATTGTAAAATATAATTTTACACAACAGTAGATTAAGTGGTATTGTTAGATTAGCTAATGCAATTTCACTGTATTTTTTGTAATACTTATAGGAAACTGTATAAGATTATGCCAGTCTGCTAAAATAAATAAATAAATCTAGTAACGTCTAAGTAAAGTTTTGATTTTCACTAGAAAATGTTAAATATAGTACTAATAAAAGTTGTAGCCCTTATTTTATGCTACAAGTTAGTATAAGATACTTGGTACTTACGATAAATAATTATTGAGAACGAAAGATTTTACGATGTATAATTTATTTTAATATTTTTGATTAATTTTGTTTAAAACAAAATATCTTCACAAGCAAGTATCCAATTTTAGTAAATAAGGTGTCATATGATAGCTCTTAATCAGGGGATTCTTTTAAAAAAAAGTTTATGCAATTTGAATTATTTCTTGTGCTATAATTCATCCTTGAAATTTATTAATGAATTTGACAAAAAAACAGTTGCCTGGATACTTTTGGCAAGTTTGTGTAGTTAATCCATCAACATGTCATATTCAAGAATGACCAGTCTATGTTAATATCAATCTAAACACTGTGGAATTTACCGATTTGAATGAATTTTGGAATAAGTTCATTACAACTTCCTTTTTTAGAAAAAATAGTATGCAATTATATTTGGTTGCCAATTTCATCCTGCACATTTGAAAGAAGTTTTTCTGTATATAACAAAATTCTAGATGAAGATAGAAAGAATTTAAGTAAAGAATCACTTAAATTTCTCACTATGATGTATTTTAACAATCAAAACAGTGGTTAAAAACAATAATTTCGTATGAAAATTTTTAGCAGAATAAATCGGAATAATTGATAAAAAATTTTCCGTGTCCCTGCCATAGATCTATTAAAAACGATACCTTTGCATCACAAACAATTCTAATGTCATCTGATATGTTCTATTTTTATCTTTGGTTTGAATAAAATCAAAGATCTGCATCGGAGTTTTAAAAGATAGCTGGATGACTTGTTATATGTATACTGTAAAGTCAAGAATTAATTTGTTTTGTTTTTATTTATTTATTTATATTTACGCGTAATTTTCGTAATTTTCTCAATTTTTATTGGTTCGAAAGGCGTATCCAAATCATTATTTACACACCGCGACTCTTTTATATCAAAAACTTAATACTCTCCTTCGTCAAGATAATTGATAGAAATGATCACTAAGGATGAAATTATGGATGAAATCAAGGATGAAATGAAAGAGGAAGACAAAAAATTTATCTCATTCTTGGTAAAACTAACGTTCTAAAAATTGTGTAAATTCTATAGTGTTTAGAAGAGTCTTATAAATTACAAATTTTGATAAAAAGGTCGGCGAGGAATATGAAAGAGAAAGAAGTGAACGAATTCAACAAAACATGGCTCTCTTGGCAAAACTAGGATTAGATCAAGAATCCTTGAAACAATTGAAACCTCAAAAACAAAAAATCAAGAAGGAACTTCAGTCACCCACCACCGAAGAAACACCATCACCAAGTAGACATTTGCCAACACGTAGAAGTAAAAGAATTCAACAATTAGTAAACAAAAATTATTAATAAAATTTCTACGAAAGTTCTTAAACTATAAATATTAACAAGATAATAATTTATTCAGGCTCCACGATATGATTTACGCGTTAAAAATGGTACGGCAAGTAGATATCGCACTTACACGCGAAAGAGAAAATATCAAGTAAATTTTTAATGATATATGCTGTATTACAATATCTTACAATATATTACAAAAAAAAAATGATGACTAAAATTATTTCTATATGAATGACAAAAATAAGAGTAAAAAGAACTCAACAGGACGAAATAATCAAGGACGTCGTATTTATGGAGGTAGAATTTACGATTCTGAACTCGGAACCACGTGCCATCAATGTCGTCAAAAGACTGTAGAAGACAAAGTTCAATGCACGGTAAGACAAGATTAACAAAAAAAAATTAACAAAAATTACCTAAAAAAAATTAACGAAATTACCTGATGATAAAAAAATACATTTATAGAACGCTCTTGCAGATGGTTCTCTTTGTAAAGTTATGATGGACGAACGTTGTCTCATTGGACGGTATGTTTTATAATTAAAGAATTAAATTTAAAATATTATAAATAATAATTTATTAATATAAAATTATTTTTATTATTGTATTTATCACAAGATATGGTGAAACCTGGGAAGAAGCTCGTGAGGCGGGGGAATGGAGTTGCCCAAAATGTCGTCGGGTATGCAATTGCTCATTTTGTCGCAGAAAGAAGGGTCTTCCTGCCACGGGTATATTAAAATATCATGCTCTTGCTAATGGATATAATTCCGTTATGGATTATTTGGGTGATAATAAAAAGATTAAACGTAGATCTTAAAGGGAAAAATGGGAAGAAGTGAATATTTTATTATATAAAATAAAAGAATCATCGAAATTTAAATATTCACAATTATTAAATAGAATATGGTATTGAAATATTACTAAAAAGATAAATAAATAAAATAAATAGATATAATTAACGATGCGATTGTTCAAATCTTCTAATATCTATAGAAGTGGGCCAAATGTAGATTTCAACCCAATCAACTAACATTTTCATAATTGTGTAAACAATTTCTTGATTGTTCTTAATTTTGCGAATGTAATGTAAAGCACACAATAAAGTCATTTTTGTTGGAATAACTCGTCTTTTCTTCATCAATTTTATTACATCTAATATTTCTTTATTATATTTGTGTAGACCTAATAAATTAATATAAGCATAAAAATTACGTTCAGAGATTTCTTTATGATTAATCACCAAATTTTCGAAAAAAATCTTGCCATCATTTGGGCGATTATTAAATGAACATGAATCGATAAAAATCGTTATACTACATTCATCTGGCTCAAGATTGGGATCTGTAACCAATTTATTATATAATTCAAATACTCGATCAACTTGTCGTTCCCTATTACAAGCATCCATTAAACAATTAATGCAAGTGGTATCAGGTTTAATTCCTTTTGATATCATTTCATTATGAAATTCGAAAGCTTTTGATAACATTCTATTTTTGGCATAAGCATCCATTATAGAACAATATGTATATTCATTTGGTTGGATATCCGCTTTTTTCATGTCTTCAAATAGACGTAAAGAAGTTTTTAAATCACCCAATTTCGCTGATGCAGTAATAAGAACTGTATAAGTATATACATTTGGTTTTATACCACTTTTCAACATTTCTTGATAAACACGAATTGTCTCGGCAAAATTATAAGTTTTAGCTTTGGCATGCATTAAAGCAGTATACGCTATAACATCTAATTTTATTCCGGATTTTTTGATATCTTCAAGAATTCTATCCACAATACGTTTATCATAACACGCTTGGATTGTCCAAGCGACCAATAAACTAGTATATGTTATCAATGTTGGTTGTATATTTGATATATTTACCATATGATGAAACCATTTACTTGCTTCTGCATATTTACCAGATCGTGCACATGCAGCTATTAAGATTCCATAAGTATAAGCATTAGGTTTTATTCCTTTGGAAATCATTTGAGCAAAATAATATTTGCATTGACTCACATTTTTTACTCTTCCAAATGCTTCAAAGATAGCAGAATAAGTTCTTGCATCTGGTTCAATATTTGATTTTATCA